GTCGCCATGACATCGCATCTCTCTCTCTCTCTCTTCTCTCTCTCTCCTCTGAACGTGAAAGAAGGAGACGGTTGGAGAGGAAGGAAAAAAAATAAAATAAAACAAAACTGAAATTAAGAATTAATGAATTTATGATAATGCCAAAACTACCCTTTTCATTTAATAATAATTGAACACTTTATCTAGACCATTAGATTAATCCAAAGGCCGAGGGGGGCTTAGTCAAGTGACTAAGGACCCCCCCTTAGTCACCAGATCCGCACTCCTATATCGTATTAGCACCTAGGATTTGGTTGTGGGTGGCCGTCCGAACTCCGATTCGAGGGTGAAGTTTAACCATTCTTATCAATAGGTCGAGAGGGTCACGTTGGTGGCTTGGATCATTTCCTTTTCATCGACCTAGAAATTAAGAGGGTAGCTTTGACTACTTGTTAGACTTCTCTACGGCTTACACCCCCTCACCACACACGTCCATTCGTAGAAGCAAAGAGCGAAAGGTAACTCAACTAAAAATTAAATAAAAATGCATCATAATCTTATTTCCAACCAAAATAGGATTTTACATTAGTCAATACTAATTCATATAGACAAAAAAAAAAAAAAAAAGGCAGTGTTCGCACTGATACTATGTAAGCTGTAAGACCAGCTCCAATTCCGCTGTCTCCAACTCCACTTGTCATGTCACCGCAATGCAAAGTTCTATTCTCTATGCACTATGCTTGGTTTTTTTCTCGATTCTATCTCCGAGCTTTCTCCCAATGGAGCTACGTATAGTTGTCTTTCTAATCCAAGAAACTGGGTTTATCTCTTGCTGCAGAGAATTGAACTCCCTAAACTTAACTGGAACTCTCCCTTATGCCTATAGATTTTTTGCATCACGTTCGTAAATTATGATATACAGCTATTATTGATGTCGACGAATGTAAATTGGTATTTGGCTGGAAATATATTGTGTCCCGTATGAATCATTCTTAAGAAAATAGCTAAATTGGTTGCATAACGTCATTACAATAATCAATTAGTAGTCATATTCGGATCATTTGATAATTAACCATGAAATCTTGGAATTATAATGATCAATATAATTGGTTATTCTAAAATAAATATAATTTTTGCATCTTATATTTTTTTTTAACAAAAAAAGGTTATTTTTAGAATATCTGATTAACATAAAATATTGGTTAATAATAATTTTTTGACTAATAATAATTGTTATTTTTGATAAATAATTGGATACATAACGTACTTTTTAAAATGAAAATCACTAATATATGGCGACCATAAAATATTGATTGTGTAAGGCTGTGTGGGTTTTTTCATGCGTGGAAGGGTCTTAGGCAAGGGGATCCACTTTCCCCTTACTTTTCACCATATCCATGGAAGTTTTCTCATGCTTGATACACAAGGCTGCTGTTGAGAATTAGATACCTACCATCCTAGGTGTAAGAAGAAGCTAGAGATTACTCATCTGTGTTTTGCAGATAAATTGCTTGTTTTCTCCACTGGCTCTGTGAGAGGGGTGGCAGGTATTAGGCGTTTGTTCGATGCTTTCTATCTGGTCTCGGGTCTTAAGTGTAACCCTGAGAAAAGCCAGCTTTTCTGTGCTGGTATTTTAGAAGCAGAGCAACAATTTATATCAAGCAGTACTGGTTTCCCCTTCTCCAACCTGCCTCTCGCGTTATCTGGGGGTCCCTTGCTTTCATGTAAGCTCAGTAGGGTGGATTGTAAAGTGCTGATTGATAGAATCACCTGTCGGATTAGAGGTTGGCAATCGAAGAAGCTCAATTATGCATGCCGGATCCAGCTTGTTTCGTTAGATGTTTCTAGTGTCCTGCAATTCCGGATGAACATATTTGTATTGCCAACTGGAGTCCTTAAGGATATAGAGAAGATATGCAATGATTTCTTGTGGGGAGTTGGAACTGATGGGAGCAGATCTAAGGGTCTTGCGTAATGGTCTTTTGGTGTCATGCTGAAATCTGAAGGGGGTCTGGGTATAAAAGATTTTTGTGCCTGGAATAAAGCATGTGTTATTAGGCACTTGTGGTCTGTTCTTTCTTGCAGTGGCTCTATCTGGTAGCCTGGGTCCAAATGTACAGACTTAAACCAAGACTGTATGGGAAGTTTCTTCTAATTCAGTGGGGTCTTGGGTCCGGAAGACAGTTTTAAAACTTCGAGACACTGCTAGAGGATTTATCACAGGCGCTGGCTCTTCTTTATGCAGGGATGGGTTTTCTATGACTCGTTACTCTGTTAAGCGAGTTTGGTTTAAGTATTCGTACCCCATAGACTCAGGTGAGCTGGTCAGATCTTGTTTGGGGTAAGCCTATAATACCCAAATATAGTGTTCTGTCATAGATTATAATTAAGAACAGAATCACCACTGTTGATAAGCTTATGTCATGGGTTATTAAGAACAGAATCACCACTGTCATGATTGTGCTAATATTTTGAAAATCAATATTTTTGGTTACGTACAGATGATTGCATTAGTTATGAAGAACATTTTTGGAACCAAATTTATTCATTTAAAATAATCATTTGGTCGGTAAAAGAATTGAGAATCGGTTGGTTATTATATTATTTGTGACCAATCATGTATTTCATCGTGACCATTTCAACAGATTGTTTTTCAAACCAATGATGTTAGTAGGCAAAATGATTATCTTGTGAATAATTCTTTTTTTTTTTGTCACATAAAGGTGACCAGATCACAAATTTGGTAGAAAATGGTTTTTCTAACACGGCAAATGTGACCAAAGGTTAAAGCAAAATATTTTGGTCACGAAATAGCTTCCAACCAAAATGCAACATTTAGTTTCTATCACTGTTGGTCACGAAAGGCAATTTCTTTAGTAGTCTCCTTATTGCTCATTGTCCCTTTACTTTAGCCCATTGATTCTCACAAGTCTAATTGTTGTTTGTCGTCTCTCTTATAGGGTTCAGGGTTCCCTCGTCCTTGTCTATCTGTTGTTGCTTCAGCTTCACTTTCAGTTGCCGAAGCCGATCCGTTTTCTTAAAATGGGCGAGCACATGAAAACAAACAAACAACAATGATATAGTAACCATAGTTTTCGATCGGTTCCCCCAAGTATACAAAAAACATATTATAGTTATCGTTGACATCAAGAGGGATTGGAAAACAGCCAACAATTTAATGATTCCAAAGTCCAGCCCTTTTGGCATTTCACTATCGTTGTATAGTCCTTTTTCTGGTAAATGGACAGTATATCGGAAGGCAAAAAGAAAAAATAAATAAAAAAAGAACAGCATTGTTTATATATGTAGGACTTTCCTGCCCTGCAAATCAAAGCAGAAAGCAAGCTGATGTATAATAACCAGAGAGAGAGCAGCAGAGAGTAGGAGAGAAATGGGGAAAAAGGAGGAAGAGGAGGAGACTATCATTCAAGCATGTCCAATGAACGGCGGAGATGAAGCTTACAGCTATGCTCAATATTCTGCATACCAGGCAAGTCCCTCTCTTTACCATAACCATACACAGTCATGACTTTATTTATTTATTTATTTATGTTCAGCAGCCATGTTTAGTTATGATCAATTATCCTTCTTTTGATTGGCCTCCCTATTAGTTTTCAACATATTTATCATCAAGTTATGTCATTTTGTGAGTTTTATATAATATTCAGTCTATTTATAATACGACATTTAAGATTATATCCACGAGATACAATTCGTCTACCACTATTCCCCCAACCCAATTCGTCATCACTATTGAGCTCTTCATAGCTTTCCAGCCCATATTCCCACATTATCCGCAAATTCCAGTCATGTGTTGACTTTGCAATAAAAAAATGTTAAGCTATCATTTGTCATAATGAGTTCTTGAGTAATTATATCTTACATTTTCACTTTTATTAACTAAATGCTTGTATATTTGATATGACAACAGATATGAAGACAATTGAGAGAGAGACTTGCAGGACTAAATGCAATTAATTGTAAAAATTTCAAATAAAATGATTTTTACATAAAAATGATTATTTTAATTGGTATATTGACTTCTTAATTAAGTTGGCGTTACTTTATCTAGTGTTAAATGAGAATTTTCATGCAATAAACTAAGTGAAACACAAATTTAGGAATTGGATGAATGTGAAATCGTTAACGATTTGTTTGGTAGGGTATACTGAACGTGATATCTTAATAGTTTGGACTATAAATTTATTTTAGATACTTTTTCAAATACAAAAATACATTATAGATCATTATAAAATATTGATAATTATTTTTTAATGCTTGACCTAACTTAACAAAATTCCTGGTTATGTTGACGAAGGAGCTTAAAAATTTTATAATGCAGAAAAACATTGTGGATACAGCAAAGCAAGCTATGCAAAGAGCCATCGAACACGAGCTGGACTTGAAGTCCTTATTCCCACTAAGCGCCACTTCTTCGGCCACTTTCCACATAGCTGATTTCGGGTGTTCCATCGGACCAACAACTTTCATGTCGGTACAGAACATCATGGAAGCGGTCAACCACAATAATAACCAAGCATCAACGACCAAACTACCACTAGAGTTCCAAGTCTCATTCAACGACCAAACCAACAATGACTTCAACACCCTCTTCCGCTCTCTACCCGCCCACCGCCAACAACTACTTCGCCGCCGGCGTCCCAGGAAGCTTCTACGGCCGCCTCTTCCCGACGTCCAGCCTCCATTTCGGGTCCATCTCGTCTTCCCTCCACTGGATCTCCAGGGTTCCTGGAGAACTAACGGCGCCGGTCGTAGAGATTCCATCAATGCACGGGACTCGATGAAGATGTCGCGAGGGCCTACTCGGGCCAGTTCACAAGAGACATGGAGGCTTTCTTTGACGCCAGAGCTGAAGAACTTGTGAGCGGTGGCTTGCTGGCGATTTCAGCGTTATGTTTGCCAGCCGGAGCGGTTCTGGCCCAGACCGGGCTGGGTATGATATTTGACCTGCTCGGCGCTTGCCTCGTTGACTTAGCTGAGTTGGTATGTCAAACTTTCACGGTCTTCTTTATGGATGAGCTTCAAACTTTCACACTGACATATTATATAATGATATTGTCAAATCCTGATGGGTTTAATTTAATTTATTAATTATTCCCTCCAGGATTTGAAAATCACTTTTCTTTTCTCCTTCTTTTTCCCCTCTAAATTTTGGATAGGGGCTCATCTCCGAAGAAAAGCTGAAGAGTTTCTATTTACCAATGTACTACCCTCAAGCTGAAGAGCTGGAAGCTTCCATAACGAAGAGAAGATGCTTCAGCATACGGAAGTTGGTGAAAATGGCTCCTCCCTCGCCGGAGAAGTCCCAAAAGCTGATTCAGACATCAGACTCGCAAATAAGAGCCGTCTCGGAGGCAATCATCAAGCAACACTTCAAAACTATCACTCCCCAGACTGTGGATTTGATCTTTCAGCGTCTGAAAGAGAAGTTGGCCGAGAATATGGATGCCATTACTAGCCCACCACTTTGCACCATCTTGAAGTGTTCATCTTGGCAAAGCGTCTTTGACTTCTCCTTTGCCTTCCCGTTGTCCTTGGGCTCGCTTCCAGAGAGTTGTTCCTGGTTTTGTTTTCTCCCTTGTTTGTCTCTTACGTCAAAATAAAAAGTAGGAACTCCTACCATGCATTGAAGTTACTATAACTTGAACTTTTTGACCTGTTATGGCAGGTTTTACAGGTTGCATTACGTAAATCTAATGTTTATTACGTAACAATTACGTAATGCTTGTTAGTCTTACGTAACAGTTAAACTAGAAGCGTTACGGAAGGTTTCCGTAACGACTTATCATTTTACGTAACACTATGTCAATATTCATTACGTAAAAGCATCGTGTATTACAAAAGGCTTCTATAATGACAATTTACAACTATTACATAAAATACACGCACATTACGTAAAGGTTACGTAACGAAGGTTATCTCTTACGTAACAGTGAATTTGAAGTGTTACGTAAGACTTCCGTAATGACTTACCACATTACATAACTTGATAAATATTCATTACGTAAAAGGACCATCCATTACGTAAGGACACTACAAGAAGATTGATCTTTCATCACGGATTTTTCCCATTGCTAAAGATTTAAAGTTGTCACGGGGAATAATTCCCGTAATTAATTGAGCTGGACAATCTAATTTGTAATGGGTTATCAGCCCGTAATAATAGAACGAGACTTTCCCGTGACAAAATACTTTGACGGTAAACGAAATGCATTTCCCTCTCATTTTTTCGTTCACTCCAAAGATTGGGAAAAGCGGGAGTTTTTTTTTGCCAATGAAAAAAGGATGAGACCCAAAATTATTAAAAATTAAAACAAAAGAAAAGTGCATTTGGTTTCTCCTTCTGGCTTCCCAAAATCCCTAGCTCGAAATCAGATACTCCCCACCTCTTGTTCCTTCCCCATCGCCAGCCTCCTTGTTCCTTGGCCATGGTCAGTGTTCCTTACCCCATCGACATCGTTCCTTCCCCCATCGCCCGCATCCCTTACTCCATCACCTTCGTTCCTTCTTCCATCGACAGTATTTCGTCCCCCATTGCAATCATTCCTTCCTTCCATTCAATCGTTCCTATCACCGGTAAAATGGAACACACCTTACTCATTTTGTGGAACGAGTGAAGTTCGAATCAGTCTGGAGGGGAAGGATTGAAAATGTTCCACCATTAAACCATATCGTGTCGACCTCTTTGTTCCTTCCCCGTCGCCGGTATTCGTGCTTCCTTCCCCTTCGCCGGCGTTCCTGCATTCCTTCCCCCATCGTCGACCTTCCTTGCCCAAACTCAATCGACTATCACCGGTAAAATGGAAGACACCTCACCCATCCTGTGGGCCGGGTGAAATCCAAATCAGTCACTAGGGGAAAGATTGAAAGCAAATCGAGCTCAATTTTGCAGCCCTTTGCCGATATAATGGAATTCCCTCGGATGCAAGCAAATCGAGCTCCGGAAGTTGAGAACCCGAGAGTATAGACCACTAAGTTGTTGATCTCCAGGTATGTCGGCCTTCCTCTCCCCTATCCACCCTTTCCATTTGTACATTCTTCTAGAGAAGTAAAACCATGGTCATATTCTCCTTCGCTACTGACTCATTTTTTTTTTCAGTTTGCTCGATCCCCTATTTGAGTTTTGCTTTTCTGTCTGCTGAAAAATCATCTTCTTGCCTCTATCGATTTAATCCAGCTGCTCATCATCACTTAAGAGACTCATCTTTACACGTAAGGTCTGCTTATTGACCTTATCCTTATGGCTAACTTTGATCAAAATATAACATGGTTGGTGTTGTGTTCCTGCTAATTAATCTTTGCATTTGTAGGGTTTTGGTTGCTGGTGGTGGGGAGAGAACGGGGACTCTTGGATTCGCGGTGACAAGTTAGGGTTTAGCTAGTATCTCAAGGGTATAAATATAAAAAGACTTTCACTTCTCTAACAGGGAAGGCTTTGTTATTTTGGATTGATATTCCCATGAGTTTTGCGGCAAGCACAAATGAATTATGCATTCTCTACTTTATGCTGAACTTTGATCATACAGCTTGCAGGGAAGACCTATCTAATTAGTTCACTTACTTTATCACTCCTTTCTTATTCCCCTCTTGCTATAGATTAGATTGTTCAATGGGTGAATGGTGGATTTGGGATTCTTGGCAGAATGATGTTTCCTCATGAGGAGCTAGTACTAGTAGCATATGTTCCTTTCAAATCCATTTTCATTGATGAGGCAAGCAAGGGATAGTTGGTGGAGGCGTACCAACTTTGTTTTGTTTATCATGATTTGCTTGTTGGGAAACTACTTTGTTTTCTGGAAGACTAATCACATTATTCTGGGTTTAAAGTTGTTTATTATCCAAATTGTAATCTTGAGTAGGGGCAATGGCCAATGGTACATGAATCAATTAGCGTGTCATCGGGCCACTTTTGATGCATGAGTTTTTACTCCATTCTCATTGATAATGATCTTATTATCAAGAGTACAAGATTCTACTTTGGGTTCCATCTTCCCACTGTTAACAATTGGGGGCTGCATTTTACCTCGTTCAAAAAACAAGAAAATTTGAACACTTTCAGTATCATCATCCTGTGCTATAAAGAATTAGTTTTGTATATCGAGAAATGTCTTGACATGGGTTCTGTTAGCGATGTTGGGCTGGATTGGGCTATGATTGTATTTGGTTGGTTTGTGATTGGCCCATTGTGATAGTAGCATGTACGTAGAATTGTGGTGGTAGAAACCGAACCCTAGCATGTGATTACGTGAGCTAGGGTTAGGCAATTATATACATGTAAACAGTAAACTGACGATGTACCGACTCAAGGAAAACCTAATAAGATCATCAGCTCGGAGAGTGCTAGCTCTCCCGTGGACTAGTCCCGATCTCGGGGAAACCACGTAAACAGTGTGTCTTGTTTCCTTCTTTGTTTTCGTATTTGATCCTAGCTAACATGGTATCAGAGCCTTCGTCTCTGGATTCTGATAGGGTTTCGGTTCGATTGAACTCCAAAAACTATGCGTTATGGGAGTTCCAGTTCCGTATTTTCATTGAAGGCAAAGGCCTTCTTCCGTTTCTGGATGGTACGTCGGTGCGACCTCAAGTCCCGCCGGCGTCAGCTGAAGAACTCGCCCGGTGGGTTCAAACTGATGCTCGAGTTAAGTCCTATCTGTTGGGCACAATTGATCCAGTCATTAGTCTGGGTCTCCGTTTGCTTCGTTCGCCAAGAGATATTTGGGTTCATCTTGCCCAGACCTACACCACTGCTGATCCTGCTCGGCAGTTTGAGATCACGTTCGAGTTGGCTCGACTCGAGCAAGGAGATATGGATGTGACGTCGTACTATAATGCGGCGCAATTATTGTGGACCGAACAGGACTTGTTGACGGCCACGCTGTGCTCGGCCACTGCTTCGGCCGAGGTCATTCAAGATCGGCAGCGAACTCGCATGATGCAATTTCTCAGTCGGTTGAAGCCTGAGTTCGAGTCGGTTCGGGCTAATCTGTTGCAGCGGGAGAGTTTGAAGATGGATGGAATTCTGGCAATTTTGGTGCGAGAAGAAACGCGTCTCAGGACGCAAGCCCAATTGGACCTTCGCCCGGGAGCTGGAGAGGCGGTGTTTGCCGTCGCGGGATCGAAGGGAGCTGGGGGTTCTGGAAATAAAGGCCTGCTGCCTGCTGTTGGAGAAGAAGAGGCCTATGCTGTGTCCCGGCCTCAGTTTCGTCGTCGTATGTCGCAAATTGTTTGCCATCATTGTCGTCAAACCGGCCATTATCAAAAGTATTGCAAGCAACGCAATTTTTGCGTATATTGCAAGAAGAAGGGTCATATCATTAGCGATTGCCGACTCATACAGCCCCGATCATCTGATTCTCAAGTTGTCGCACAGCCTCAGCCGGCAGGAGGTGCCTATGCTGTTCGACCTGCTCCTGTTCACGCACAAGCTCCTCCACAAGGCCAATATATGAGTGCTGAGGCTATCGAGCAGCTTGTGAACTCCGCCCTTCAGCGCTCGTTACCTACTGCCATAACAAGTGCTTTTGCTACTCTCCATCAAGCTGGTAAGACTCTTCCTTGGCTTTTGGATTCGGCTTGTTTTAACCATATGACGGGCAATACTTGTTCTTTTACGAAATTACAGTCTGTTAAGTTTGGTTCCATACAAGTTGCCAATGGGCAGCGGCTACCAGTTGCAGGCATAGGTGATGTTGAGAAGCCTAATATGAATCTTGCTAATGCTTTATGTGTTCCAAATCTTGTGCCGAATTTGGTTTCTGTTGGTCAATTAACTGAGCAAAATTGTCGTGTTGTGTTCGATCCCTCTGGTTGTGTGGTTCAGGATCTGAAGACGGGGAGGCAGATCGGAAGGGGAGTAAACAAGGACGAGTTTTTCAGCTCGAAGAATTGTCGGGTCAACCTTCATCACCTCGGTCCTCGTTTGGTCTTGAGTCTCGTGTTTTGTCAGCATTTTCTAGTTTACCCAATAATGAGTTTGAGTTGTGGCACTCTCGCTTAGGTCACCCTCATTCCAGTCGGCTTGTAACCATGTCTAAACAACAACTTTTTGGAAATAAGAAGGTTGATTTTTCTTCGGGGAATTTTCAGTGTACGAGTTGTGTCGAAGCTAAGTCTACTCGTAGTTCTTTTCCTTCTAGTACGACGGTGATTTCTGAACCCTTTCACATCGTTCACACCGATCTTTGGGGTCCATCCCCTACAGATTCCCGTCATGGTTACAAGTATTTTGCGTTATTTGTGGACCATGCTACTCGGTTCACGTGGGTGTATTTTCTCAGGTTAAAATCCGACCTTTTGTCAGTTGCCACTGATTTTTTAAAAATGATTCAAACTCAGTTTGGTAGGACAGTTCGTGTAGTTCGGTCAGATCCTGGGGGGGAATTCAGTTCTAATCCGCTAGCCAGTCTATTCCGCTCTCAGGGTATTTTAACTCAAAAATCGTGTCCCGGGGTGTCTCAACAGAACGGGCTTGTCGAACGTAAAAATCGTCATGTCGTAGAGCTTACTAGAGCCATGTTGTTAGCGTCCCATGTCCCTGCTCGTTTTTGGCCTGAGGCAGTTGCTACAGCTGTTCGGTTGATAAACTATCAAATTACTCCAGTTCTTGGTCAGCTTAGTCCTCATTTCGCATTGTTTCAAAAGCATCCGGATTACTCCCGCCTTCGAGTGTTCGGGTGCACTTGTTTTGTACTTCTTCCGCGAAAAGAGCGCTCTAAGTTGTCTTCAAAGACGTCTAAGTGTGTCTTTCTTGGGTATAGCGACATTCATAAGGGGTATTTATGTTTTGATCCTTCATGTCAACGTCTTCGTATATCGTGTGATGTCGTATTCTTTGAGCGTCTTATGTTTTTTCTAGTACCCCTGAGGATGCGTCATTTCTTTCCGAGGTGACCCGACTCCCGATGTTTGATGATGATGAGGAACTGGACGAAGACATTATACTCCCCCCCGACTCGCCTGCCCCATCCACCCCGGCATCCAGCAGTTCAGACTCTTCTTCGGCGAACCCGTCCCCGACCTCGAGCAGCATCTCTACGTCCGGTGCTTCGTCCTCCAGTCACAGCTCTTCATCCGCTGATTCCCCACCCTCTTCGCCGCCTGTACTTCGTCGGTCACTTCGGACAAATAAGGGCCAACTTCCCATTCGGTACAATGATTTTGTTTCCTATAATGTTGAGGCTTTCACTATACCTACTTCCTATAAACAGGCCATGCTCGACCCCAATTGGAACAATGCCATGCAGAATGAGTTTGATGCACTGCATGCCACGGGTACATGGGAAGTAGTATCGCCCTCCGGAGCCAGTTACGATCCTAGGTAATCGGTGGGTGTATGCAGTCAAAGTGAAGGCGGATGGCACACTAGAGCGATTTCGGGCTCGACTTGTGGTTCAGGGGTTTGGTCAGGAGTTTGGTCTTGACTACGACGAAACTTTTGCTCCGGTGGCGAAAATGCAAACAGTTCGGACTCTTCTTGCTGTAGCTGCGGTTCGTGGGTGGACGTTGTTTCAGCTCGATGTTAAAAACGCGTTCTTGCATGGAGATCTCAAGGAAGTGGTGTATATGCGACGTCCTCCAGGGTATAATGTTGGCCGTGATGATCAGGTTTGTCGGTTACGTCGATCCCTTTATGGTCTCAAACAAGCACCCCGTGCTTGGTTTGAGAAGTTTCAGAGTACGGTTTTAGCACTTGGTTTTCGGCAGAGCACCAATGATCCATCGTTGTTTTTACGATCGTCGTCGGCGGGTATCATTGCTCTTCTTTTATATGTTGATGATATGATCATCGCTGGGGATGATGCTCCAGGGATTCAAAAGCTAAAGGCGGGACTTCATGCGTCATTTACATTGAAAGAATTGGGCTCGTTATCTTACTTTCTTGGGTTGGAGATTACTCGATCTCGGCAGGGGATTCTTTTGAGCCAAAAGAAATATATTGGGGACTTGTTGGCTTCGGCACAATTTGGTGATTGCATCCCTGTCTCTACACCATGGAAGTTAATTTGCATTTAGGCCGTGACTCGGGAGTACCGATTGTTAACCCGTCTCAATATCGTCATCTGGTTGGCAGTTTGATATACCTCACCCATACAAGACCGGATATTTCATTTGCTGTTCATGTGGTCAGCCAGTTCGTGTCCGATCCCCGTGTTGATCATCTCTCTGCTGTTCATCGGATACTAAGGTACTTACAGGGTACTCGTGATGTTGGTCTTTTTCTTCCTGCTACTGGTGATCTACGTTTGCAGGCCTATTCCGATTCCGACTATGCTGGTTGTGTTGATACTCGGCGATCGACAACTGGGTGGTGTGTTCAAGTTGGTGGTGCTTTTGTGAATTGGCGTTGTCGGAAACAGGATAAGGTTTCCAAGTCTTCGACGGAAGCTGAGTA